CATTTTATTCCTTTTCATATTTTCAAGTACTTTGCATGGTACCTGGCATAAAGCAAATTTCAATGAGTATAGGTGTAATGAATGGGAGAAAATCTAGTATTAAATATACATATTTTAAGTCCCTAACCGCAACTACTCTAACATACACACAGCCATACACACACACACACACACACACACACACACACACACAGCTAAAAAGTCAATCCCAGTGCACTCTGGAAGAGCTCAAAAACCTTGCACATGAGAAAAGCAATCAGTGTGCATGCAGCAGTCTTAATAGGTACATGAATAATTTGCAATGCCATTTTAAAGTGTTCTATTGAGGTCTGAGTCAATGAGCTACCAGACTGGTGGGAATCAAGAGATTATTACTGACACAACTGTGGAGATACATCACATACCACCCATACTCAGCTGGCAGAGTATCTGAAATTCCTACCATTAGAATCATTCTTAAATGATGCAGCAAATCCTGTTCCTCCTTCGTGTTAACTGGCTTTTGAGAATTTTCTGCAGAACTTACAGGAGAAAAGTCTGTCCTTTATGCTTCAGGAGCATTCTGTTTACAGTGCTGTTGTTTCATATCACCACATTTTGCCTTCAGAAATGTTAAGACATTTACTAGCACAAATAAATACATTTGTATCTATTTAAGCACCTTGATTATAGAAATTGTCTTTTAATGTCCTATGACCTCCCCACAAAAACCTTTAATATGTAAACCATTATCTATTTTTATGCTTAGCCTTGCTCCCGGACGAGATGATCGACTAGAAACAAAAGCCCATCTTATCCGTGTTTGTACCCCAGCCTCTAACAGTGTCTGATACAAAGAAAACACTTGATAAATGTGAGTTGAATCAGTGTTAGACTCGGCATCCTCTTGCTGCCGTCCCTGAGAACACGGACCCCCAGCAGCCCCTCTCCTGCCCGCCAGCCGAATCATCTTCCTTTTCCATCCCCATACTTCTCACTCACTCTGAAGTTCAGTCTTTTTTAAAGTCATAAAAGCAGTAAAGAGACTAAACTGTGGGAGATTGACCTACCTACAAAATCACGTCCATTAACTCTGTTTCTTCATCTGCAAAATGCATCCCCAAAGGCCTGCTCTGCAGACTTCCCTAGATGAGATGATAAAGATAATCATGTTTTGGAAATACATGAAAATAGGATGTCACTTCACCCCTTCCTCCTTAAAAAATAGTTTAAATTTAACATTTTGATTTCAGACCCATGAGAATGTGGAGCCACGTGTGGAAGGAACACTGAACCCCACTTATTCAGGGAGCATGCTTTGACTAGCTTCATGAGAACTCAACATGGGAATGCCCCACTAGGTTAATTTGAGGATCTCTCAGACTTAGCCAGACTCTGAAACTTGTATTCATATTTTCAAGTGCCCCGTAGCTGAAGTACCTTACCCCAAAAGACTCATAAAATCATAGAACTTTATCATTAAAATGAACTGCAATGGTCTGTCTTGATCTCTTTTTACATATAGGGTTATAGGTAATCTCAGAGTTTAAAGGCTATCTCATTAAAAGGACATCTACCACAGTTATCACAGTGGAATTTAACTTTATCTTTAGTTGAAATCACTCTTTTTAAAAAATAATAAAGAATGCTTCAGGAATGTACATGTCGTCCTTGCACAGGGGCCATGCTAATCTTCTCTATCAGGGCAATTTTGTTTTATGCGCTGCCAAAGCAAGCCTGATGAAACCACTCTTAAAACCTTATATGGAAGCCTAGCGTGTGAAACAGACCAAGTAGAAATGCTCTGCTTGAATCACAGCGAGGGCAGCATCTCCCTCTCTGCCATCTCAGGCAAACCCTGAGTGCCTTCCCCGTATCTCCCTAGGTTCAAACACAACTGAAAATGTTCCTCAAACGTACTGTGAATTTATCGTCTAGTCTGTTTGAACATCTTTAGACATGAGCAACTCCATACTTTACAAAGTCACTTATGTCAACATCTCCACAATTTTGACTGTTTTTTTAAAAGACATTTAACACATGATATTGTGCTCAAATCTCATTGTCTCTAGTTTTGGGACTATCTTTCAATCATGATTCTCAGGGGCATGTAGAATATAATAGTTTGTGGCAGCTGGTGCTTTCCTGTTTTGATCTGTCCACTAAGCTTTGCATCCATCTTCTACCCTATGTGCATGGCCCAGGCTTGGCCCGGTTACAGCATCCAACACACCTACAACAGCAGTTGTTCCAAAGCAAGGAGAACCGGCCTGTCCTGGGTTGGTAACTCCCCTTCTCTGACACTGATACAGATGCTGGTGACATTGTGTTCCGACCTTCTTCTAAAACTGCTAAAATGAGGATAGCAGGAGTCACGTATCCTGCTACCTAGACATTGTCTGCAGTGGGAAAGAATGAGCTTAGCAGGCAATAGAAGCAAAAAGAGAGAGGGTAGGAGTAGCTGGTGGATTTGAATGCTGGGTTCCAGAGCTTCACATTTTGATTTTTACCGTTTCTCCTTCGAATGTTGTGCCTCAGCTTGGTATTCTTCCCAGATATGTAAATTAACAAAGATCTTTTTTGTTTGTTGTTGCTAAACAGAATCTAGAGGTGTATTTGTCCTTTTATACCAAAGCATCCTGATAAGAACAACCATAATGTCTTTTGTACAACGTGGGTCCCTGAAAGTAACTGAACTTTAGGTTCCATGTTTAAAAATGTCAGTGGAAATCCTGTTGACACTCAGACTTCTTTGGAAACTCCTGAGTCTCATTTCCCCTCCTCTATGTGGTCCAAACCACATCTCAGTCCCCATGGTGTTTGGGATGTCCTAGGCCTACAGGACCTCCGTTTTCTTTTAAATGGTGATGAGATGGCCACCTAGGAAAGTCTCTTCACTTGGATGCCTGCTACTCATGAGGCATCAGAGGGAAATTTTATTAAAAGTAAAGAAACTATCATTTATTACTTATTCTTCAACATGCAAACTACAGCAACTGCAGAATCCTATAATCACTACTTCCTATACATCTCAAAAGGAAAATGTCTCTGTAACTTGTAGACCCTGGATGAAGAAACTTTTCCTATTGGGAGGTCCCATATTAGATTTCTCCATATGACTCTGCTAAGTGACCCTAGGATTTTCTTTTATCCTTTGATTTCTCTAGCTATCTAGGGAATCCTCAACTGTTTCTGAACCTTTAGGGTTTTATGAAAGATATGCTAGGCATTCTCGCTTGGATCTGGATATATGTTATAACGTTTTTCAGTCACAATATGTTAGTAGGCCTTTTAGGTTAATACAGTGTTTGTTTCTGAATGTTCAAATTCTCTCTTAGGCACCTTCCCACTCCCCAGCTCTTGTCTTATCACAAGACTTAGACAAAATTTTCTTACAGAGTCAATTACAGTGTCCGTACTTTCAGCTGAAGCCTGGAGGAATACCCTTGACCAAGGTATCTATGGAATCTGACAAATATTCCCCATTTATTTTCATGAGAAAATGGTATCGAAAAATCAAGACACTTAAACTCAGGATAGCCACTAGTGGGATTTGTTCCCAGCCCATGCAACCCTGTGGCTTCTTTCAGAAATTCTGAATTTGCTCATCCTAGAGGCACCTCAGTTCTCAGGTGAGCTAAATTTCTGAGTCTTCTATCAGCCAGGCTGCATGTACGTTAAGGGAAGTGGGAAAGAGAACTACCATTAAATGCACACCAAATGTCTTCCATGAATTGTGGTGAGTTCTTGTGAGTTATCTGTCACAGATCTAAATGAGGATAGCTGAATATAAGTGAAAATAGAATGAGAGTCTACCACCAGCTCTGGAATGCTCCATCAGCAGGAATTTGAGTAGAGAAGGAGCCAGGAAAGGAAACTGAGATGGACTATCCAGTGACTTATGAGAAAAAACCATTCCATTTTTGCAGTTGTTGAGATATATGGATTTGGAGAATAGACGGAAAGTACGTAAAACTGAGGTCCTTTCAGGAAAGAGGAACATGTCTGATGATAAGGATGCAGACTTTGACAATGGCAATAGTATTGACTAATACTGAGTAATTACAATGTGCCAGGCACTGTGCCAAGCATTTCACATGGACTCTCCCATTTAATACTCAACAAGCTTAATGAGGTAAGGTGCTGATATTATCAGCTCCATTGTGCAGATGGGGAAATAGAGGCAGAGTAAGATTAAGTCAACTGTCCAATTAAATACATGGTACATTTGGAGCCAGAATTTGATAGTAAACTGTTAGCAAAAATGGGTTTGGATATCATTAAGAGAGATGCTGAGATACTTGATAAAATAGCCCTTCTTTCAAGTAGAATTCCTTCTTCAGCTGTGAATGTGAATTCCCCCTGTTCATCAAATTCTTAAGAAATGACTGCACACAAACTTGTTTCTTAGGATTTCTGTATGCATGCACATTTGCCATTAACTACTGTTATTTTACATTTTTAATAATATTCATTTTAATGTCAAGCAATGAATGGTCATTGTGCACAAATATCAAATTTGGATAATCATGGAGAAGAATTAATAGAATTAAAAAATATACATGTTCTTACCACCAAAAATGGAAAAAGAACTGTTCATATTCTAATGCATTCCTAACATGCATATGTTTACACACATGTATAACCCATATTTGCAGCAAGAGTGGAACAAAATGTACATATTGGCTACAATCTGGCTTTTTAGGTAATACATTTTTTTTCAATTATTAAGACATATGTCACATCACTTATTAAGCAAGTCAGTATGTGTTCTGTGACCTTCCATAAAGAGCAGTCAGGGTCTTCCTCTTATGTGTTGATGTGCCTACTTCATCTCTGAGAGGTATTTTCTTGTAGTCTTTTTTCTGGGGGAGGGTATATACTGTGTGTGTGAGGGGGTGAAACCTGGCTTGCACTTCATGTCAAACTTGTGTTCTACCTACATCTAGAAGCAATTCCTGGAGAGGTCATGGGCCTTTATTTTCTTCTTGACTTCTCTACTTTCACCTTTTCCCCTTCCCATAACCTCTGACTTCTTTGTTCCCAGTGTCACCGCTCATGGTTTGTAACGTTGGTGGCAAAGGAAGGAAAGCGTTTATTATTTTCCCTAAGGCCCTGCTTTGTTAAGCCCAGGGTATGTGTTACTTTGTTTTCAGAATTGGGCTTTATGTATATTTTGTTAAATTCCCTAAAGTCTTCTAGACACCAAGGACTAGAAATGAAAAATGACTATTATTGTTACCCTACTTTGCCCAGGACCCCGAGCACCGCATGTTTCTGACTTCCCAGACAGGCTATGCACTCCTCTCACTGACCGTGAGCTGAAGGCCAAGAAGAGCTGTTTACTCCTTTCACAATAATCACAGAGGCTCACGTGGTCCTGAAGAAATTGAAGCTTGTAAAAGTTATTTTAATTCATACATGTGCTCTCCAGTTTTGGCAAGACCTGAGCTCTTTTCTCCCCTTAAAACCGTAAATATTCAAGGGAAAGAAAGAGAAAAATCTCACTGAATTCAGCCAAAGTGATTTGTTTCCTCAACACCAAACACTGACATTTTAGAAGAATCCAGGCAGTGGGTTCATTTATTTACTTTTCATACAGATGTTTGTCTTGCGTATCCAGACCCTGATGATTCTTACTTTATGAGGTTTCTTTTAAAATTGAAAATCAACCCAGAAATAAGTACGAAGTATTTATTTTGCCCAAGACCCTTTTTGTTAGGCACTATGGAAATATGTGAAAGACAGCTCGGAGTAGCAGGAAAAATAAAAACAAAAGACGTTAAATTAGAAATCCAAACACCTGCTTTTGTTCCTTAGAAGTGACAGTATTGTGGACAAGGTAGTTACTTCTCTGGCCACCATTTCCTCACCTGTGGAATAATTATCTTTGTTGTGAAAAGCAAACGTAAGGATACATGTCAAAGACCTTTATATGCTGGGATGTGCACACAAATGATGATGATGGCCAATTATTTGTAAAATATTCTCCCTTAACCTCAAGGAATTTACAGCCTGCTTGGAGGAATCAAGAGGTACAGATTCAAGAATTTGACAGCAATATAATTGTTAAATACTATCAGACAGAGATTCAAAAGATGTTGCAAGACAATGCATGATTAATTGCTGAGGAGACTTGAGAGAGAGCTGTGTGAGCTGGAGTCCCCAGGGGACAAATGGAAGGACTGACTGCTGATTCCCCACAGCTCTCAGCTAAGCATTCAGATTATGGATCTGTGGAAACTCAAGTTAGCACAAAAATGACAGGAGTTTCATGCTTTGAAATCAAATTTCTAGCATTCTGATAAACAGCCTTAATACACGTTCATTATAATTTCACACCTATGATTATGAGTGTTGGGAAGGGAGTCTGTGTTACTCAGTAAGAAGAGAAAAGACTCAGAAATCAGAGAAAATGGAGTTCAAATACCGGCTGCCCCTTTCGTGTTGCATTCCTGACCTTTGCTTGTAATTGTGCGTCTCTGGGCTTTTAACTTCTGAAGCCCAGAGTCATACTTACCTCAGAGGCTACTAAGAGTTAATGGAGTTAACTAAGCCGAGGTTGAGTTTTATGTGGGGGTACATGGGGATATGCCAAAGTGAGGGAATAGCACGCCCCAAAGCCCTGAAGAGAGGAAACAATTTTGAGGACTGGATGAACAAAGAGAACGCCAACGTGTCTACAGCTTGGTGGGTGGGTCGCTGCTTCTGGAGGAAGAGGAAAGAGCCACAGCCAC